TAAAATAATAAAAAAATAGGTACGTTTATCGAAAATACCATAATATGTATGAGAAGGTGCATCTGTGCAATATTCCAATTTTTAGAAGATTCAGTTCAAAAATGTAGGAGTTATTCAATTTTTTACGTCACGACACAAACAATTTTCAATTAATGAGTTTTTTCGGAATTTCTAGACCTCGCACAAGAACAAAAAATAGCACTATTCGATTCGTCATGAAAATCTGCTTCAGATAAACACCTTTTTGGATCTTATGAATCAATTTCAAAATTTGACCTAACTTGACCTGACCTTGACCTGATCTCGACCTGAAACTTATTCAAATTTGGTCCATATCATTACGGAGCGAGCGAAGCGAGCGTAGTCTTTCCTTAGATTAACGGAAATTTCTGAGTATGAGCGGCCGGCCGGCCGGCCGGCCGTGGTCACGCTTTTGCGACGCTTATATCTCAGCAACCACTTGACCGATTTACACGCGGTAATTTTTGTAGGGTAGCTTCATTCCTTCTACCAAGTATTGGACTATTCCCGATGCATGTGGGTGACCCCTTATGCACGTGCCACGTGCAAAACGAAGAGGTGTCACTTTTGTAATTGTTGCAATATCTCGGTAACTACTTGGCCGATTGCGCTGAAAGTTGGCATATAGCTAGGCACCCACTAGGCAATGCATATCCATGTGCCAGAGTTGGGGTGCTGCTGCACGTGCGCACGTGCAGGGGTCGATTCCAGATCTCGAGAACGGCTGGACCGATGGCGCTCAAATTTGGTACATGGTTAGGGACCGGTTAGTAGGGTGCAGTGCAAAAGCCAGTTGGGACCCATTTTGCACGTGCGCACGTGCAGGGTGCCGCTTCCAGATCTCGAGAACGGCTGGGCCGATTGTGCTCAAATTTGGCACATCACTAGAGACCGGTTAGTAGGGTGCCGTGCACAAGTCAGCTGGAGGTACCCCCTCGAAATTTCGCACGTGCAAGGCTCACCCTCTCGCTCGCTCCGTTAGTCGCCCCAAAAGGCGTTGTACTGGTTAACTTAGTGTGCCCATTGAATTCTATTAATAAACTGACCCATAAAACATGTGTCGAACACGTCCTATTCCATATTTCATTTTTGGTGACCTGACCTGACGTGACCTTGACCTTGATCTTTTCTTGCCTATGCAACGAATCTTGTCTTGGAGGCCTAAGAGCACGTTTTGGATAATCAACCTCAGTCCATTCTTCGCCAGCCGCGCTCCAAAGCCGATAATGTAGAAGATTGCATTTTGTACCCTTGACCTGACCTTGACCTGACCTCTGACCTATTAAGGCAAAACGTTTGGCTCCAAGTGTCCGTCTTGTTGAGAGCTTTCGAGTGCCGCTTTTCCCCTCTTTATACGACCACCGGTTCCGAAGTTAGACGGGGGGGGGGGCAGAATCTGCCCCTCCCCAGCGCGCTGGGGAGGGCCATATGCAGCGGGGCGCGTATGGCCAAATAGCCAGCGGGATGCGGGTTTATAGTTTTACTACAGATCATAGCATTTCAATGTAATGGAACTTGGAGGTGTATCTGCCCGACGAAAAGTAATAATCCCATCCCTATAGTAAGGTGGCGAAGTCTCCAGTCATAGACTTCTGTATAGGGTAAGGTGCCTAATTAGCGACCCTTTCCGATTTGCGACCTACCTCCCTACAGAAAAACTGGCAGGAGAAAACGGGGTAAAAACATCGTCAAAAGGTCAGCCATACTTTGGTTTTCAAATTAAAATATTTTCCGGCCGTCGATGTTTCTGGTGGGACGTTTCAGGTGAGTTTAAATAAAAATGACGAGTTTCTTATCCAAAACGTGTGTGTTTGGGCCCTCTCTGATGAAAAGCGATGCACATTAGGATGATGCACCTTTTTTATTCTGAATCGACATTCCTTTTTTAATTGATTGCCGTTTTCCCATAGTGAATCGCGCAACTGTGCACAACATGGCGATTAAAAATGTGTCGCAACTCGAATTTCCTATTTGCGCCTGACATGGTCGCAAATAGCTCAAGAAGGGAAAGAAAAGGGAAAAGAGAGAAATGAAAATGAGGTGTTGCTGAAGCTTGCAATATGTGGCAGGGGATGCCAAATGTCGTCACCGACTGCAGGGGTGCCGAATTCAGCGCGGACCTCAAATATCATACAAGATAGCCCGCAAAATTTGGGTTTCCGCCTTCTTTTCGCCTTCGGTGCATCACATGATCAGTTTTTACTTACGTAAATGTGTTGGATAAACGTTCCTGTTCGAGTGATTGAGTGCTCTGCGCATAGGTTACATTTTTGAGATCATATTTCATCTTTTCAGGCGTCGCATTTTTTGCCATTTTTAATATGGGGAAACCCATAGACTTATTAGCGACCCTCCCCGGTCGCTAATCGGGAAGAGTTCCCTATTAGCGTTTTTTGCAATGGTTTGCCAAAATGCTCACTACAAATAACTTGGTGAATATTGGGGCAGAAAACAACTATATTTTAATAGAAAAATGAACGATCTCTCCGAAAATCAAGCCAGTAACACAATGGCACCCACAGAGCGTGAGCAATGACGGTTCAAATTAAGTGGGTCGCTAATTAGGCACCTTACCCTACATATACAGATATATGTATAATTAGATATACAGAGGTCTATGCTCCAGTATTCATCACGTCAACATTTGATGTCTCTCTGGTAAAGCTTATCACTTTTCTTCTTTGAACAAATATGGAACGCATAAGACTGTTGACTAATAAGTAGGCAAAGCATAAGACTCGCCAGCAGTTCGATCAGCACCAGAGAATGTCGGTGCACACAGAGTTCCGATTATTTGCAGCTACGCCTCCACTCGTTGACTAGGGGAAAGCCGGGAGGTATGGGCCGGTTTTGTGAAATTCACTCTGTGTACGTGAATTTGCCTTTCGCCCCTTAAAACTTAGGACATTCAATGAAAGCATCGTGTAATTGAATTAGGATCACCGAGGGTGGGTGGTCCGAACCTCCCGGTTAGGACGTCTGAATGTGCGTTGCATCTCAGCTCATAACCTTGCAACATAGCTTCAAATTGTCTGCCCAGTCTTAATTTGCATGGTTAAAATTTTATGTTAGCGATGGTGTGACATAATAAAACCAGCCTGTTTCACATAAATCACGAATTTTCTGTATGCATTGTATTTTACTCGAAGAGGGCATAAACGCACTATCACTGCTCACTGCCAAAGGAGACTGAGGAAGATTTTGGAAATCACGTGGGTTGTATAACGAAATGACAGCTACCAGTTTACGCAGTTAATTTGGAAAAAATACGCAAAACCTGTTCAAAATTGCGATGGCCCATACCTCCAGGGGGCCCATACCTCCCGGGTCTCCCCTATGCAAGTTGAAACATTTTAACTGCTGCGTTTCTTTTTGTCATAGCATCTTATTTATCCATGCACTTTTAGATTCACGACGGAAAGTCTCATCTCATTGGTTATAGCGATCAGAAATGTTGATTGCTTATGCTTCTGCATCCATTTCTTCTGTCATGCACTGTTATACGCAAAACGGAAAGTTCCGACGCATCAGCTTGCTTTATTGATTTGAAGGGTTTTATCCCCTAACCTGCTAGGACCCAAGCTCAAGACCGCAAGAGGTTACGAGGAACCAATACGTTTGGCGACAAGTTTGTTACGACGAACTGAGCGCAGATTGGAGTTTGTTTTATAAGCCCACGGTAAAGGTAAGCATCTTCAAAGACAAAGTAGCAAAAATTCTATTGGCAGCTATAATGATCTTAGATCTCAGTGATTGTTGCCCGCAATCGTCACACACCGATCGCCGAGAGCAGGCGTCGGCCTCGCCGCTGCACGGGACGGGATTCGGTGGTAGAACTCTTGTCATGGCCCGCCATACAGTTCACTGGAAACTAAGGCCTGTCACAAGAACTGGGCGACGCAGTTCGGGGTAGCGCAGTCCGGCCCACTGGCGCTGATTGAGTGCGCGCCATGTCTCAATGGAGCGGGTCGGCGGCAGGCAGATTAGCCGGGCCGGCGGGCCCGCGCGGCGCTACCTACGCCGGCCGGGGCTGCGCCTCCCACGGCGCCGGCCGTGCGCCGTAGTACCGGCGCCCACCGGAGCGGGCCTCCCAGCGCGCAGCCCCGCAGCCACCGGCCCATACAGCCGCCCGCCGACCGGCTCCAAATGTCAGCCGCCAGGGCTTCCCACTTAACGAGAGGCCCGATGGCGGGCGGCGGGCGCGGACAGGGCGCCGCCACCGCCTCACCGCACCGCGCCGGATACACCGGTCAATACCTGCATCCGGCCCTTGATACCCTTCAGCCCCCTGGCCGACCCACGTCCGTTGCGTCACCGCGCCCAGCGATACATAGATAATGCCGCCGCTAACGAGTCCCGCTCTCAATATTTAAATTACATGAATTCGAAAACACGATGTCTTCCCCGGCAACAATCTCCTAGAATTAACGAGCTGTTCTTAGGGAGTTTACGTGGAAGTTTTAGTTTGGTGGTGCTTGGAAGTAAACACTGATTCGGCTGTTGTTAACGGCAAGTTCATTCTTTCGTGTCTGGAGGAGAGCTATGTTGTTTTGAGCTACAAAGAGACCTGCGACTGAACAATTGGAAATCATAACCATTGTCAATACCTATCTAATTCCAAAAAGTCGCCATAATCATGAGGCGTCCACACACAAATCCCTAGTCCCCGTCTTTTGAACGAATATTGAAATGAAGAGCCGAGATGCCTAGCAATCGCCGACCATCGGAGTAAGTATCGACACCCAATCCGAACAGCAGCTACGCTGTTCAGCAAAATCCGGCATCTTGTCATGTCACCTGCCAAACTTGCTCTTCTTTTGAGGCGACAGCAATGTGAACAGTCGCAATAAGCTCAATGATGATAATTCTAAGTTTCTTGCCATTGTCATGTAAATCAACAAAGTAGAAGCAAGCATTGGGAACCTAAATCTGTAGCAAGATTTCATTTTAATTAATGAAAAACAATGCCGAAAGAAATGTAAAATGTACATATTGTATTCTCCCTTGTGAGACTCCCAACACACACTGCGCAGAGAAAACCACTCGATAGCGAGCTCACATCACCGCGTATCGCTCCCACACTCCATGTCGGCCGCTGTCCGGCCGCTGCCGCCGTCACCCCCGTCCCTTTCGGTGGTGTTCCGCTCTCCCTCACCGTCCCCCGTTTCACCCCCGGCGGGAGGCGGCCCTCCCTCAGCACTGTCCCGCTCGTCTGCCCCGTCCCCCACAGCACCTGACGCGGCATCCGACACCCGTCCGCCTGCCACAGAGACGGCCGACTCGAGGATAGCCGGGTCCAGCTTGCGCCGCTTCACGTAGTGGTCCACACGCTCCTCCAGGCTGTCTGCAGGCCAAAACGTGGGTGGGTGTCAGAAGCTAGCGATAAGACATTAGGGAAGCGGGAAGGGGTCAACGAGAGGCGGGCAGAGGCAAAAAAAGATGAAAATGTGGGAAATGAAAGGATGATAGGTGGCATTACTTTGCAGGTGGTGGTATAAGTGGAGTAGGCATGTAGTTACTTTGCGGAGATGAGCGGGTAAGAGTTGGTGGAAAAAAGAGACCAGCCGTTGACAGAGCGGAGTATCGGAAAGGTAGCGACGCCGGTATCTGGTGAATTTCGAAGGGGACGCCGAAGAAACTGGCTGGGAGGACCCCTGCCAGTCCTCTCGCCTCACACACTCCATTATTAGTGAAATACGGACTGGTGGGGAAGACCGTGAAACTATCGAGATCTCTCGTCGGGAGCTGTGAATTCCTCCCGGAGTGTCTCTCGGAGGACAGTTGGGAGCGCCGCGTGCCATGGGCGCCGGCCGGCCGATCGACTCCCACACACACCGCTCTGCTCAGTTTGCCGCCGCCGGGCTGGCAACAGCGGCTAATGTGTGCGCCTTAGCGGGGCGTCCGGTGGGCGGCCACTGCCCGGTGACAGTGCTGGCCGAGCGCCGAACGGCCTTTCGGCTGCCGCACCGTGTAATTACCGCTCCACTGTCGGCCGGCCAGCCACCGGCAAATGGCAGCGCCGAGACGGGAGCTGAGGCGGTGGGGTGCTGGGAATGGAGCTACGGTAGGTGGGGTGCTTACAGTGGAGCTAAGGTGGGGTGCCGGAACAGGAGCGAAGGTGGGGTGCTGGGACCCGAGGTGAGGCGGGTAAGACGCTTTGAATGGAGCTGAGGTGGGAAAGGTGCTCAGAATGGAGCTCAAGTGAGTGGGATGTCGAGACCAGGCCGACGTCGGTGGGGTATTGCGTACCCTTTGAGTCACTGACAGTCGGCTAATCCTACAATGCTACATTCCCAGCTCCCCGTTGACGTACCACAGGTGGGTCTGCGCAGGAGCGGCGTGTAGACGCGCGGCCGGACGCCCGACGTCAGACAGCGGGTCTGCGTGGACGGCTGCTCGCCGTGGCGCGCCGTCAGCTCGGTCAGCATCTCCCGCAGCATGGCCGCCCTGGGCGGGAGAAGGGCGTCAACCACCTGACATCACCAGAGACCACTACACTGAGCACTGAGCAGCGGCAAGGCCCAGTGGGGGACGCAGCAGTGGGTGTCAACAGGTTCAATGTCTGGAGCGCACTGATCCAGTCAAGTGTAATGAAACGCATTGAACGAAAAAAGCATCGACGATAGAAGATGGGCATTCGTATTTCTTTGCATTTTCGATGAAAGCTCTCGCTACGAATAAAAAACACACCAGCTTTACTATTCCCTTTTAGGTGCATTTCCGATCACGAAACGAGACGTGTTCTGTCCTCTCACAGCATCCACGACCATTCACTGAGCAGGACCGCGCTATCGAGTCATGGAGCCGAGGCGGACCCGCGGGCGGGCGCCCACGCCAGCCCGCATCACGTCTCACTGGCGCGACCGGCCCAGTCGCCACCATTCCACCTCCGTGACCCGGGGTCAGCGCGTAATGAGTCGGAAATGCGCGATAACACCTCCCACCGATCCAGCCAGCGCCACTCAAACGACGCACTCCGTTATACAGGCTGCTTCGCCGAAATTTAACTACGCAACCGTAATTAGCTCCTCACAACTTCTCGGCTGGACAACGTAGAAAGTTTCATAGTCGATTCCCGGGATTAGTAGCGTTATCTAACAGCGCCTGAGAAACGCGTCGACGCAGGCAACACTTGACGACTCATGTCAATGGCGTGAAGCGCTCTCCAAACTAGCTACTGGCGGCGCCGGGCCTACCTGACAGCCGACTGGGTCCAGAGTCGCTGCAGCGTCTCGGCGACTGCGCGCAGCACGGCCGGGTCGCAGTGCCAGCGCACGCTGTCGTACTCGACGTCAAACAGGTTCAGCGGCAGCTCGGAGGCCATGTTGTACTGCGGCTTCCTGAAACGGCAGCCGATACAGAAGGGTGCCATCAAAATGTCGAACCTTCAATGCCGCATATGTAAATTTCGAGCGACATCCTGGAGCCAATGCATCGCATATCGGCTAATGAGGTATCAACATGAAAATCACGCCACGCAAAATGATATTAGTCCGTCAAAAAGTACGCAAAACGCAAACGAGGTGCTGTGGCGCTACACAAGTGACGCAATCAAAAATAATCTGGTACGGTGTCGTCATAAAGTTGGTGCGGCGCATACCTTGCGTTGTACCCTATTAAGGCGATTCACTGCGGATCATCCGACATTAAAACCTCACAGACAGCACACTTACGCAGACATGAGAACAGTATGATAATGAGAGCAGCATACGCAAATCAGCTGTGTCGTAATACACCTCGAACGCATCGCCATTAAAATTGCGCTTGGTACTGCGACATTATGGAGATGGAAATGTTCACTTCACGGATTTTTCCGGAACTCGTTAGCAATTAGCGGAAAAAGCCAGTACGATCCATCATATCACACATCTGCGCGGACCTACCTCGGGTTGGTCTCGACGTCCAGCAGTTGGTCAATGACGGACGGTTCCTCGAGTCCCTCCCCGACGAGGAACAGCACAGCCACCATGCACCTAGCGCAGGGGACCGGGCAATCAGTGGCGCCACACACACACGATGGGTACACTGGGCGAGCGATGGTTCGCGTTAGATGTCCTCCGGATCGCTACAGCGGCGGCGGATCGGCGGAATCGAGAATGGAGTCGCCGAATGCGCTATAAAAATAACAAGAAACACTAACTGATAGGTGTTAATAGGCGTACCTTATAGTGAATCCTGCAGCTAGTGAACAGCGTATTAAAAAGTTTATCTTAGACAGTCGGTTTACAAGAAACGACGGCGGAAACCATTAAGAACAGTTTAAACTGATTTAAATTACAGCATTGCCACATTATAAATCAAAAATACAACACTGCTCTCACAGAAAATGACATATATGTCTTCCCACGAAAACTAGCATCGTTCTACAGTCTACACCCCTGCAATCCTTGAAACTCTCTCCAAATCCCGCCAACCACACCGTTCCCGATTTCCCGCACTGTCAGCGTACCTGATTTGGTGCCAGAGAAAAGCGTTTCCGCGCACCTCCAGTTGATACATCTGGTACCCTCCATCGCCTCCGCCTCCGCCTCCACCTTTCCCTGCGCCTCCGCCTCCACCTCCGCCTCCGCCAGCTGCCGGTCCGTCCACAGGCGTGATGGTCACCCGCTCCAGCCTGCGCCGGTACTCGATCACACCGTTACCCACGTCCATCTTGCACAGGTTTCGGAAGTCGTGGTGGCCACAGAGTCGGCCGGCCGCCTCACACATCGCCTGGAGACGGACGGACGGACGGGCATCGGTCAGGTGGCAGATGCTGGCTACTGCCGGGATAGTTCTGCTTATAACTAGTACATGAAAGATCCTCGGCCAAAATACGATTCCGAGTCATTGACGGCGGAACCCATTTGTCAAAAACTAACGAGTACGTAGCAGCTTATGATTATTTGAACTATATAAACACAACTGATAAAAGCAAGTATCACGATATTCAAAAATATTTTTGTTAGCCTGCAGCTAAACTAACGACCGCCACACAAACCAAACACAAACTACGGATATCCGGAAGGTACCAACACCATAAGCAATAAGTATGTCCCACCTGTATATTGAGGTCGCCTCGGGGGAAGAAGTAGCGGTAGGTGCGGGCGCGACAGTCGAAGCGCGCACTGGCCTCCGGGTCGGCGGGACTCCAGCACAGCGCGCGGATCTCGGCCGGTAGCACTGCATGAGCGCAGACGCACAGAGCGTGTGAGCGAGCGCGAAAGGAAGCAGCGCCTTTTGAGTTGATTGATGGTGATTTGTGTTTAGGGGCGCCGTACTCCGTAGCGTTGAAGTTATATGGGGCATGTGGGCTATGCCTGATCACAAACAAACGTTGACACTGAGCGGAGCGACGAGAAAACGAGTGACCTGCTGTGTTCAGTGCTCTTTGAGTGCACTTTTCGTTATTTCGTGGGAAGTCGATTTGAAATACCTTACAAAAGGTAAATATTAAACGAGGAAAAAAAAATGCACCGATAAGTGATTAATGAATGTGGATACACCACTTCACAATTCACTGAGCTAGCTCAAGAATCTTGACACTAAGCTGCGGAGGATGCCAGAGTCCAGTAACGACCTACCTTTGTTGAGTATGGCTGGGTAGTTGATCTCCTGCTCCGGTGACAGCGTGGCCGCGGCAGTCGGGTCGGCAGGATCGGCCAACTGCTGACTGCGCACGTCGAGAGAAATGACCTGGCTGAACGCAGACACACCCTGACGGAAGACCCGAGAACGGGAACGTCAGAGGCTGACGGCCAGCGCACGGAACGTGCCGGGACGGGGACGAGGCAGCAAACGTGGATTAACAGCGAATGGAGCGTACGCGAGAAGAGGACGGAACGGCAAAGTTCGCCTAATAGCGAATAGAACGCAGCTGAAAGATGATACCAGAGCAGCCCAAGAAATATAAATTTAAATGTGACCATTAAGTAAACTCATGACCATTACCGATTTTTAGCCTTTATCCCACGACAGTGATGTGGGTGATAGTCACCTTATCGGTGCGGCCGCAGCGGTGATAGTTGGCCGTCTGCCGACAGCGCACCAGCCGAGTCAGCTGCAGACACCGGAACAGCTCGGCCTCGATGGTACGCGCCGTGTCTTCCTGACTGGCCAGACCCTGGTAGTCCCAGCCCAGGTAGCAGAACCGCAGCAGAATGTGCCGTCGCCGGAACCTGACCCGCGCGGCGCGCACAACCACCGTCATCAACCACACCGACGGACGTTAAACAGCGACTTATGGGTGTCCATCGTCACGCATGGATGCCATGCGCATGGCATAAACATGTTGCAATGAACAAATTACAATTTTAAATGATTATTGTTAGGGGTCGTCGTCTGCCGGCTGTCGGCTGCCGGTCGTCGCCCGCTGCTGCCAGGCGCTGCCATTAGCTAGGCCCGTATGGGCCGGGTGCGTTTGGCCGTCGTCGATTGGCCGGTGCTCCCCCCTTGCACTGGCCAGCCAGCGGTTAAGTGTCACATAACCTCACCCAGCAAGGGGCAAGTGGAGCCCTCGCCGGGATTCCAATCAGCTGGACGGCCAAGTCATGCCATGAGTGACGCTATGACGGGTCTTGTTGAGCTGGTTTAGAGTTGAAATACAAAAAAGTGCACTGTTAACTAAGAGTCTGTGGCAGAAGGCTGCAGAGCACACCCCACCCACAGTGTACAGCGTGTCTCAAAAGTTCGTTGACAGGTACCAGCCATGCTTTTTTGTCAATAATTCTGAATTCACAAGAAATTAACAGTCGAACTTTTGCATGGACATTGGTACCAACCTTCCTCAAGCAGTCTCATTGTTTTTAAGCGCACTCGACCCTTCATGAGCTCACAAAAAGGGTTCACCTCTGACCATGGGTCAGGCATGAAAATGGAGGTCGCAAAATCAGGTCGGCTGAGAAACTCTCTGTTTCAGGAGTAATGGGAATGGTTAAGTCGGTTATGACTAGTGGTGTCAATCGGAACTTGAATCTTCGAATTCCGATTTTGTCCAATGTCCAATTCGGAATTCGGTTGGACAATGGCAGCAGGCTTTGGACAACTTTGGACAATTGCTTGCTACACCTCAAATTTTTAAAAAAGTAATCGTGTTTAACATTGATTGGCTATTAGAAAGCTCAGCTTTCGATATGATTAACACTTTTAAGCTGGTAACGGTACATGAAAAGCAAATTAAATAACAGTGTTGAGTGTAAACTATTGCGTAAGTGTCGGACATCTTTGGACAAATGGCTGGCTTGGACATTTTTGGACGGACAGTCGACGTAAGCATTGGACATTGGACGGACTTTGGACATACGTTTTCTGAAATTGACACCACTAGTTATGACACATGGCTAAGTGTTGGCGAGGATGAGTACAACATGATGATCATCTAATAAAAACGGTGGCTAACATTTTTGAAGGACGAAACCATGCGAGACTAACAGCGTTTTGAACGACTCTCGTACGGCAGCAGATTCGTGCTCCGGAAAGCAGCTGAAAATGCAGTCACAACTATTGAAAACTGACAAGAAGCTCACAGACAAAGGTAACCCAGTTTCAAAAATTGCAGGTCATCGTAAAATAAAGACAAAGTATCATTTAAAATTGTTTATAATATCTATAACGCTAAATTTTGGGGGAAAATAACGCGAAAATCGTCAATGCCAAGGACAACTGACCCTCCAAAGTGTCAATTAACCCTCGCCCGCACATGGGGGGGGGGGGTGGTTGCCACCCCCCCCAGGTAGTCTTTCTGCTCTGCACTCAACATTTTTAAAGCTAGAAGGCTGATTTTTCGTATAGCTGCTCCTCTATCCTTTCTTGATGTCCACTGAAGATTTCAAGTTTCTGTGATTTTTGGTTTCGGAGATATGACCTTGTTTTTCAGGTCATGTCATGACCCAAATGGCCAGTTCTCAACATCTTGCGTTTGCCATGGGCCTTATGAGCTTTTGACACCCTGATTTCGGCCTTTTTGCCAGTCTTACCTCCCACCTATCATGGAACATGTTGTTCGACGATGTACAGGGGTCAAGGTCAGGGTCAAGGTCAACCTAGGTCATCTAAGATAAATGCGTTTTAGGCAAGCTGAATTTACTTTTTTTTTGAAGTTTTTTGACTGCATTTTTGGTAAAAGCTTCTCAGATCATGATTTCATGTAATATGGACCCAAAAACAATCGGTGCACACATCAGTATACACACAGACACACACAGACATACAAACACATATAATTGACCTTGACCTAACTTGACCTGAAATGACCTCAGCAGCAAAATTCTGGTCGGGTAGTGTGACAAAGAGGTTCTAGCTGGCTTGGCACCAGAAAACGGCATCGTCATCGGTATTTGATAAGCAGCACACTTGATATCCAACGGTGACCCAAAACAGCAACATTTTTTAGTTTGACCTGACCTGGAAGGTCAATGACTGATCTGAGAAGGTAAAACTGGGTATCATTGGATTTGTCTCTTCCCAAAGAATCTTTTTGGTCTTTACTGCTAAGCTCTATCTCCAACAGGAACGAAATGGCGCGGGGGGGGGGGGGGTGGCAACCACCACCCCCCCCCCCCCCATGTGCGTTCTAGGATGGGAAAATGGCATGTGCGGGCGAGGGTTAATGTAAAGTTTTATCTTACGAAGTTTCAAGAGGCAGATCTGGAGCAAATAGCTTTCTTTTAGACACAAAATCCCGATAAAACCGCACGATGGACAGGTTTTGGAAGTTTACAAAGCAGAACCTCTCCTGAGGAGAACACTCCGCAACCCAGCGAAGGTCTTGGCATGACGAATGACGAGCATTTGGGATTTGCAAAATTTGCAAAATGTGTCCAAAAAGCAGATGGCCGCGACATTCTGCTATGATATGCTGCGAAAAAATTGCCCCTGGCACTTCCCATTTGTTCGGGAATGGGGTTGTTTTGAAAAGGAAAATGGTGCTTGGGAGGTCGGCGCCAGTCATTCATGAAGGAATTAGCGCCAGAGAAAACCTACAAAATACTCACGGATGGTGTCGATGCAAGCTGTCGGCTTTCAGGGAGAAGCGGATGTTGCCGGGGAGCTCGTCAAACCTAAATCCGACGCAGAAACTGCAGGGGATTCCCCTACAAGAGCTTGAAAGCTGGTGACCTTTTATCATCCTCCGGCAGCCGACGGAGCGACGAAAATCGGTATGGGCAAATATTTTTGGAGATACAGCAAAGGGTTTGGTTTTCAACCCTCTGAATCAGTTTTCAAAGCATGCATATTTGTCTAGTGTACACACCAGCAAAACCTTAGATTTTTGGCCGGTTCTTATATGCTTTATTGGCATGGGAAATGTGTCAACTAACTTTTGAGACACCCTGTACATTATAATAATGGGCAAGCATTTCCAGATACAAGGCGACAGTTCCGAGCAAGAACATCCTTCCTTAGTGTCAAATTTTTCGAAGTTGAGATATTTATACCATTCGACTCAGCTCGACGAGCTGATTCGAATGGTATGAAGTGAACATCTCAATTTCGAAAAATTGGACACTAAGATATTTATATTAAAAAATATATAAAATTGGACACTAAGATATTTATACCATTCGACTCAGCTCGACGAGCTGAGTCGAATGGTATGAAGTGAACATCTAAATTTCGAAAAAATTGGACACTTAGGATGTTCTTGCTCGGAACTGTCGAAGTATTAAGAACTCAAATTGCAGAATGACCTTTCCATCTGTCGCTATAGCATTTACTTTTTTAATCAGACCTTGTAACTGTTGTAAGTATAATTGAACACATACTTGTCGTGGTTGAATTCCCGGTGTTTCCTCTTGTCAGGCTTGCCATTTGTGGTGCTACTTGATTTTGCAATTATATTACGAAGCTGCCTGATATGCAGCTCCATAGCTCGTACTTTGTCCATCAATTCCTGTAAACAAGTGAAACAAAACAAAGGGAAATAAGTTATGATGGCATGAACATAGTTCATACAGGCAGTGCATCAAACTTCTTATGAAATGTGCATGGTATCAAGTAACTAAATCAGCATATGATGGTAACCCAGACAAAAAAAAAAAAAAAAAACACTCATACACTACGCCGGACGCCCATTAGGCCCTCTTGCACCGAAATTCGGCGCTAGCGATTTTGCGGTGAAATTTATTTGCGCCGAAAGTTGGGTGCCTATTTGTGTCAAAATTAAGCCACTTATATATAAAGCACATGTGCACATCTACCAATCAAGGCTATATCAACCAGACAGAGCGTTCCGGGGCCTTGGGCGCTCTTCCATGGTTCAGCGTCCAAATAAGTTTTTATTTCCACGGAAACCCAATACCTCAATACGCTTAGCACACTGTGCACTGTAGCGTCCTGCCGTGAAACAAGGCCGGAGCCGGAAGTTACGGGGCCACAAAAATCGGCGGAGCGGTGTGTTGGAGGGCCGGGCAGCGGAGCAGCACGTATTCCGGCACATTAGCCTCCTCTCGGCACACGGCGCAGAGCGCTGCGGGGCACTGCTTGTTTGGGCGTTGCTGGCACGCCGCCGAGTGGAGACAGCTGATTCGGTGAACGTACTAGAGCGAGCGGCCCCAGTGGCCCGCTCTCATCTGGTGCACCAAAACGGCGTCCTCTCGGTCCTCTCCGGGGACAGGGAGCTGTGGCGTGCTGCGGAGTGGTTTAAAGAGACTCGGACCAGTTGTCGTGCCATTGATACGAGGCCGCACAATGAACCGCCCTGGTCAGCGAGCGGGTGTTTGAGGGCCCGCTTGTTTCGCCAGGTCGTCTGCGCTCTCATTCCCCTCAATACCATAGTGGGCAGGAACCCACCAATATACCCTGGGAACCCACTGCAGTATTACTTAACAACACTCGGCGATGTTCAACAAAGTCTTCTATATCTGTCTCCACACTGAGGGTTGAGGCCTCACCTGGGCAGCAGCTCCTCCGCTGAGTAGAACCAGGGCGGCTCGCCAGTTCGAGCACACAACGACTGGGGCGGGAACGTCTCGTTCCGAAACCTCTCCAGAGCCGCCCGCAGGGTGAATCTGCTGCTAGATTGGCCAGCATGCCGACTAAATTCGGTGACCGCCTTTCGCCAAAAGATTCTGCGGCCGCCCTGCGCCGGGGAAATCTACTGCCGCCAGGCCGTTAATTCAGCGCATGAAGTACGCCAGTCTTGAGCAAAAATTTTCGGCGCAATCCCGCCACTACACCGGACATAATTGGCATAACTTGTATTTTTTCAGTCTGGATGGTACCTACCAGCTATCTTATCTTGTTACCCGCGCCCTGCTGGGGGGGGGGAGGGGTGTTTGACTTTGAACACCCCCCCCCCTTTGGTTTTTCGCGAATATCTAAAAAACGGCGGCGCTTGGTACACCTTATCATACATCAATTCTACACATGTTGTGAAAATTTCAGACCAAGGTCATTCAAGGTCAGGTCACCAGGTCACTTGAAAGTGACCTCACCTCATAAAAAGTTTCAATGTCTGTCATAGCTACACCGAGTGACCGATCGCTTTGAAACTTTCAGCGATTGCTAAGAGCAATAGCACGTACAAAATGTATATCTCAGAATTTTGATATCGATGACCTAAGGTCAGGTCAATTTTGCGACCTCCCCATTATAAGTCAATGGGAGAAAATTGAAATGCACCTCTTTTGGACGAAAGACATTATAAACACTCCCAAACACTGAATTACAAGTGGTTTAGACACACTGAACATGAAAATGGTGTCCGTGACCCCTGTTTATGCCCTGAGGTCATCTTAGGTCATGAATGGTATCTAACAGTTTTTCACAAATAACTTTTGATAGAGGCATGCTAGAGCGATGAAAACGCATAAGATGTGTTCGGCTCGACGATACGGATCGACTGATATGCAACATGACCCGTTCAGGTCAGGTCATGACCTTGACCTGAGGTCAAATTTTCAAGTTGACCTTTCAAGGTCAAGTTGACCTTATAGTTCATTCGATGCGTCTTGACGAGAGGAACATGATGCCGGTAAAAGTAAGGTCGTGCAAGGCTTGGGTCAAACGTTATTGCAGAAAAAATATGTTTCCGAAAAAAATCGGCTATTTTTTGCAGTTTTTGCCCCCTGCAGGTAAAACCGTTGACGTTAGGTCAAATCTGAGAGCATTACTCAGAAAGAGCGTTAACCCGGCAGTTGCTGGGGTATTTCGCCACCCACCGTTTGCTGGGGGGGGGGGGGCGTTAAACGCCCCCAGCCGATAACTCGAGAACCAATAGGCGCAGCGAAACGCACGAGGCGGCAAACGAAAGAACGCGACGAGACGCTTCAGATGAGTACTTTAAAGTTGAATTTTGAGGTCACAGGTCGGGTCAAGGTCAGGTCAAACACCTGAAATCGGACTTTCAGTAGCATGGACCTCAGGACTTCGCAATGGGCGCCTCTCGTCAGAAACTCTGTCAAAACGGTGCACAACCCATCATATAAGGCCTACAAGAGTGTCAGTTCCATGTAGGGGTCAGTTAAGCGTAGGTCAGGGTCAAGGTCAGGTCAACCGGGTAGGCACATATCCCCGAAAATCAAAACTGATATTCGCAGCCTATGACACATGTTTTATGGGTAATTTGGGCCGTAGAACACGATGGTGACATTCATTTTATCATATGTGTACGTGTTTGGCTCAAAAAGTTCAATTTAAGAAATGCATGTATCATGGTCGTGAAGTAGTCACGAGAAATTGTCAAGATTCAGTTCAAGATTTTGGAAAATGTGGAACGATAATCAATAATCGAAGATAGCCATTTGATTGTTCATGGTATTGGCATTCTAATGGCGTTTACGGCATGTCTGTATGTCTATTCTGTGATTTTATATGATTTTTTGAACATATGCCGTTTTTGGTCAAAAATTCAGAAATCATGACGTCACTAAAACCTCGATATCTCAAAAATTTTCCGACTAATTTTTTTTTGAAACTTTGTCACAATAAACTTCAATCAATTCCCTACAGGTACCCAAAATTTGGCGCGCCTGCGGCGCGCCATTTTTATGCTATGGCCCGGCGAAAAAAGTGGGGGCGTTTAACGCCCCCCCCAGCAACTCGCGGGTTAATAGGGCTATCAAATGCGCTTTTCCGCGGCGCTGTAGCTCTATTGGTTCCCGAGTTATGCGTTGGCATCTTGGAAATTGTCGACATTCAACCTGGAAATCGGCGAAATTTTGCCTTCAATGACCTCTGGTGACCTGACCTTTGAGTTTTGACCTGACCAAAAATTGACCAAAGTGATTTCGTCATTATTTTTGACACTCTTTCGAACGCCACCTTCCGTGTATCGCTACGTGGCCCAGGAGCCGAGTTAGAAGGGGGGGGGGTTCAGCCCAGCAGGGCGTGGAAATCCAGGACCCCCAGCCGGGCGCGGGTTAATGAGGAACACCAAAACGGAATAAACACTTACCTAATTGGATAAAATATTGAAAATTTTATTGGTGGCCTAAATATAAGCTTCCTGAATCCTGAGGAGTCAACTCAAGTATGCTCACCTCTCTGCTAAGCAGATCCAATTTTTCTTTCTTGTTTTCCCCTTGAATGGCATTATACTGGGCATGTTCATCGCCTGGTGGATCCATTCTGGCACGGCAAGACTCTATCCAAGGTATATACTCTAACAAGAGGGGCTCTAATTGTACAACTCGTTTTTATGCCCTACGGAATCGAAACTCCCTATACCCTACTGTAGCATAACAGGTGGAAATAGTTATTATGTTCAAAGAGAGACCAAGCAGTCTGGCTGAGCCTTAAATTCCTAAATCGCCTAGCAACGTGGGAACACAACATGCCACCTGAATGCTTATTGGTGCTTTTGTTATAATCTTTATTCAGCAGCATTTATCGAACATTATATTATTTGGTGAATTACGTATCTGCTGCAGCATATTTGTCTTAGTCTGACGTCTTAAATATGAGCAGAGTGCTGTTCACGGGCACATGCGGTAACTGCGGTAGCTGCGGTAGATCGCAGGCTGTAAGTCCCGCCCACTTGTGCGCACGTCATCACGCGTTCGTCTGAGGCGGCCGTGTCAATTTTCCGCCCAAGTTACACGAATGCGCAACTGCCGCGCCACTTTGCATGACAAATGGCTCCTGCGGCCGCTGCGGTCGGATCGATCCGACCGCAGGAGACGCAGGCGACCGCAGCCGGCCGCAGCCGTATGACGTCACACCACCCGCCCCATCCCCACTTTCTGTGACGTCATTACCCGGCTGACCGCCGAGCCGCAGCTACCGCAGCTACCGCAGGTGCCCGTGAACAGCACTCAGTATTTTTAATGGGATAGATTTGAACTGCTGGAATATATTTATATAAAATAGGTTTTTAAGCAATAAAAATTGTGATACAGATATATCATATATCGGAATAATCGATATTTATGCAAAGATAGTGCTAAAACCAACGATTTTCGGTAACATATTACAAAATGGAACACAAGACATGAACAAATAGTACAGTAGTTTAGTGAAAATCGGTGGAGTTTATTGAAGACCTTGAACGGTCAACAACACGTGCGGCACGTGTGCGTATCCGCGTCGCGTCGTAATAAAGGACGCCGGTGAAAACAGGGCGCCGGAGGGCATATTAGTCACGTGACATTTGGAGCTTCTCCCTTTTCGTTGGCCTTCTCCGGGCCAAACGTCACGTGTAAATTTCACGAACCTTGATCAAATCGCCCCAGGCGCCCTGTTTTCATCGTCGTCCGTAATAAATCATTGCACGTGTTAAAGGGACCCTCCCACCTTAACATTAGATTTGAGTTGAGATAGCCAAAATGGGGTCCCTGGCTCACAATTACCGGTTTCGGCACTCACAACATCGAAAAATGCCTTAAATCAGAAATATTGAATTTCAAAATTGCAGCATTTTGATTCAGAGGGGCTAATGCTTAGGAATACCCCTCTGAATGTGTGACGTCAGCGCAGATATCTAACGATTTTTAAATGTTTGACTAAAACGTTTTGTAGCACGCGGTGGTATATGCTATTTGCGCGCAATATCTGCCGCAAACGCCGCACTTCTAAAATAAAGTCGCTAGAAACAGCGGAGATCCCAAGAAAGTAAACAAAAGTAAAAGTCTAATATCTTGAAAACCGGTGAATATTTTTCGGTGAAATTTGGTAGATATTCGTTTTAGCTCTTTCTGAACCGAGCGACATCACTTTCATGCCAATTTATAAACTTTTTTGAAGGTGGGAGGGTCCCTTTAAAGGGACCCTCCCACCTTAACATTAGATTTGAGTTGAGATAGCCAAAATGGGGTCCCTGGCTCACATTATTCAGTTTCGGCACTCACAACATCGAGAAATGCCTTAAATCGGAAATATTGAATTTCAAAATTGCAGCATTTTGATTCAGAGGGGCTAATGCTTAGGAATACCCCTCTGAATGTGTGACGTCAGCGCAAATATCTAACGATTTTTAAATGTTTGACTAAAACGTTTTGTAGCACGCGGTGGTATATGCTATTTGCGCGCAACATCTGCCGCAAACGCCGCACTTCTAAAATAAAGTCGCTAGAAACAGCGGAGATCCCAAAGGGTGAGTATTGAAGCATCCAAGAGCGCAGCATCCAAGGGACGCAACATCCAAAACCTTAGCATCCAGCGATCAAAACGTCCAAATAACATCCAAAACCGACCCCTTAGGGATGATTTAGAGCATCCAAGAGCGAAACATCCAAAACTGCAACATCCAGGACCACAGCATCCAAAATCGTATCATCCAAATTGGCAGCAACCAAGGACGAGGAATTGCAGCATCCAAGAGTGAAACATCCAAGGATGCAGCATCCAAAACCGTATCATCCAAAAAACATTTTTGGCACCGCAGCATCCAAGACCGTATCATCCAAAATAGTGACATCTGTTGTACAAGCTGTAAACTATTAGTTCAATGGCTGTCCGATAGGTGGTGGCACGTACGGTTCATAAGTGACGGAATTGTATGACATCACTGAGTCTCTATACAGTGGCATCCCTATAATGACCTTACATCCTCAAGACGGAGATGCGTAGCTGCTGGTGGCGACATCGCTGCGATACCACTACAAACCTGACATATGACATGAAGACGCATTGCAGTGCAGCGTATCCAAGCGCGGCACGTATGTAGGTAGGCTGAAGTGTCGATAATGGAGACCGATACCGAAAGTGGGTTTATTAATTTCCCTTTGTTTTCACACCAAAAGTGCCTAATAAGTCGTGAAGTGTCCACTATCCCCGTAACCAAGCCTCCGCAAGGATCTTCATCTCACCGTCAGATCGCGCTTATCATCGTCAGCTCCTCCCGTTCCTTCACAGTTAACCTTTTTCCTGTTCTATGTGATATATTCCATGTTCCAGAGGGCAAAAATATAAAAATAGCCGTTTATACCAGGGGTGCGGAGCCGGAGCCGGAGCAGCCGGAGCCGGCATATTTTGCCCAGAGCCGGAGCCGGAGCCGTTAAACAATATAGCCAGGAGCCGGAACCGGAGCCGGAGCCGTCAAAAAAGGGGGTGACTCCGGCTCTTTTTTTAAGTTGAAAAAATTATTGACCTAGTTCGGTTTGACAGTACAAGGCCATGTGGTATTCACTATTCAAATTAGCCTTGTTATGCAAATACAGAGGCAACGTGTACCAATCCAATTTCAATTGCCCTTTCTCTTCCACCCGTAGGTATTTAATTAATCGCATAGGAGATGTACGTACCTACTGAGAAGGAGCCGGAGCCACCGGAGCCGGACCATTTTACTCGGAGCCGGAGCCGGAGCCGGACCGTCTGAAATTTCCACGGCTCCGCATCCATGGTTTATACGAACAAAAGTTTTAGGTAACAGATTTTGACTGAAGGGAGCCACGACATTACTTTTACCAGCAACGTGTTCTCCTCGTCGAGTCGCGTCGAATGAAATTCGGACTTCTAAGGTCATTTGGAAAATTTGACCTCGGGTCAGGGCATGGCCTGACCGGAAAGGGTCATGCTGCATATCAGTTGATCCGTATCGCCGAGTTGAACACATCTGACATGTTTTTACCGCTCTAGCACGTCTGTCGTCTCTTATATCAGTTCAAAAGAAATAGTTAAAAAAAAACTGCTGGTGACCCTTCATGACCTGAGATAACCTCAGGGTCACACAAAGGGGTAACGGGTGCAATATTCGGGTGTGTCATGTTTTCCAATAAACCGATGTTTGAGAGTGTTTATAGATAGCATGGGCGTCGAAAGCGGGGGGACGGGGGACGCCCCCCCCCCCGCCGGCAGTCGATGAATCCGGGGGGGGGGACGTCCCCTAAAAAAAATCGGCCATAAAGGATTTCAAAAGTGACTATTTGGAACGGTCATTCAATATGGAGTCATGTAAACAGAAATAAACCATTTTTAAAAGAATACCCTCTGATGCTGGTCAGTTCGACGGTACAACTGAGAACTCAGACACTTCTGCGGCTCAGGTACCTACAGCCTACCGCTAAAGTAATGTAGGGTTTTACCAATCTCAACGGTTGGCTTTGACTGGCGATTGTTTAATGCGGAGTGATCGAAAAGAAGATGTCAATAGCTAAAGTTGCAGCTGCAAGGGTGACGATACATATACCTAAGCTACATTCAAAGTTTCATTGTAGTCTGGCTAATCGTTCCTAAGCTTCATAAGCAGAACATACCCATGACTGAAACCCCACATTACTTCTGCTGTGGACTGTACACCCACCAAAGGCTGAAGTTCGGTCCTCTGGGTGGGGTGACAGCTGCATAAGCCACTCATTCGAATATTCACAATACTCAAGCAAGCTGCAAGACCCCCACTTCTAAACGGCCATCCTCCCGTGCTAGGCAAAACGACAGCCGAAGGGGCTCACCAGTTCACCATGACCTTAGAGTAGGTACCTGATGCTGGTGTGAGAGGTCAGAGGACCTCGCCACGGTCTGGGATTTTTTATTGGGTTAGGACTTTTCGGTCTGACGAGACCATTTCAGAGCCGGAAGGAGATGGGAATTAGGGGGAGGGCGAGGGGGGACATTTGGTCTGGGCGAGCACCCTGATGAGTCGACGAGGCTGAGCCCGTCCAGAGGGCAGGCCGACCAGCACCCCAAGCACACACCAGTCACCGCACCCGGTTACGGGCGTGATCTTATCGGGGGTTCCCGCATGGGATAAAGTTGCCCGTCCAGCCCGGAACAAGGAGTTGAGACGCGGAGGAGAGGGATTTGACTGTCCTGAGGATAGAAATGACGGAACGGTGTGTGGTATGAGAGGGTCCAGGAGGTTTGAATCAGGCCCATGTCACTCCACTTTTGATGACATCATATGGGGGCCTCAGGACAATAATGGCGCGGCGCGCCACAATCGCTTCAAAGCTACTTGCCAACCGTTGCCATTTTTGAAAATATTATTTTGAAATAAAGTTCCAAGTAATAAAAATATTGTAATAAAGTTGTTGAATAAATCGATACCATATCTAAAAACTTACTGAAAAATGATTTATTCATAGTAAAAATATAAGCTCGATGCGTTTTTACGTTGCTTTCCTGCAACTGCAGAGGGTTTTTAAATCGTCTATATCTTCAAAACCGGCCATTTCTTAGCATATTGCTGCTCTTTTTCATCGCTAGAAAATTAGTTAGACTTTCCAATGACATCAATGGTTGAGCGATATGTGTAGAATGTCACCAACAATCTTCAAATGAAGTTAGTCATTTTTACGTTGTAAAGGAATGGAGTACCCATTTCGAGCATCAGGGGTGACGTCACTCAGGATCTGTCTCTGATTGGTCGGCGGGGGAGTGACTGTACCTTCTATAGATGGCCTTGGTTTGAATACTCAGTGTGGGCCTATATTGGTCTGACCTCTTTACTGATACAACCACCGTCCACCAGTCACAACGGTCAACAGAACCTACAGCTCTTATCCCACCTGCCCACGATCGGCTAAAACGGCTTCATAAATTTCGACTAACCAGTTAAGAGCAATGAGCATGACTTCAAGCCAGAGAATGTCGACTCTGACTTCGGAGTCGAAGTACAAACGACTTCGGTGACTCCAGCTCCGACTCTGGCCAGAGCTGTCAAGTCAAGCTGACGAG